TCCCAGGTCTGGCATCTCCTCCTCTTCACAGCAGATGGAGGGCACCATGCTGGAGCTGCTGTGGCTGCACCCACTGCAAAGCAGGGGGGAGATGGGAGCAGCTGGCTCTCTGCCACCAGCCAGCCCAGGAGCCACAAGCCCATGGTGTCAGGAATGATGAGTTGGAGGAGTTTCAAGGCTTCAGTGAAACAAAGAAATTAAAAATTTGAAAGAAATGCTTGACTAAAAGGGGTGTTTGACAAAAACCATACCCTGACACCCTGACCCACAGGGACAAGAAAAGGGTCAGACTGCAAGATAAGGAGCTGGAATACACAAACATGAGGCACCACAAGATAAAGGAGATTCCTTGGACCCTAAGCCTGAAGGAATGAATTTAATGTCCCAAAATGTGGCCAAAGGACTGAAAGGGGCATGGAGCTAATTGTAATATGAAGTGAGGACAGGCGGGGTTAGAAAATGAATATATATTAGGTGTATCATGTAAACCTAGTCTGTAAAAGATAAAAAGGGAAAACCAAATCAAAAAGGTGTGCATGCTTTTTGGAGGAGATATCCCCATGCACTTCAGCGCTGAATAAATTCATACCTGCTCTTATAACTACTCTGCTAGTTATAGAGTCCCTTTATTCCGCATATCATCAGCTTGAAGGCTCATTCTCCCCCGGGCTTGGTTGCCCACATTGTGCTCTGCTCCTGTGTGGAATGCTCTGAAATTCGGGAGAGGGAGAATTTGCTCCCTGTCCCTGGGCTGGCTGCGCAGGAGCTTGCTGTTCAAATCCTTGCCTTGAAATCCAGAGATCTTTTGGCTCATTGTTTTCTGATGGGTTTCTGGGACCCTTTCTCCCACCCAAGGGGCAGGTTTGGCACGTGAATGGAGGCGTCTGGGGGGACATTGTAGGAGTCAGGATTTGGAGTGGACTAAAACAACCAGCAGGAAATTTATCCATCCAAGTGCCAGTGAAAGCTTTGTCTCGAGAATGATGCTGGGCATTGTTTCTTGAGAATGGTGGGTGGCAGTGCCAACTGGCTCTGCTGTGGCTGATCCCATACACAGCTGGTGACTTTCAGGTGCTGTGTCTGTGCTAAGCAGCTGGAGCTGGATGCCTCAGCTCAATTCCCCTAAGCTCCAGGCCCTGCCAGAGCCTCCAGGCTGTTGTGGTCTCTGAAGCAGGGCATCCCAGCTGCTTTGTCTCTCCCTTGGATTGCCCACTGTTCCCATCACAACTGCATTTTCATCTTGGTGTCTTGTTTCCTGCAAGGTTGAGGTGGGGTGCAGCAAAAGTCTGCAGCATCCCGAGAAGCAGATAGAGAGGGGCCTGCCCCTGTGGCAGGAGTTGAGATCTGGTATGAAAAGCAAGCCAAGAGAGGGAATGAGTTATTTTTTCTTTCTCTTTTGTATCAGGAATGGGGCAGACTGGACTGATTGAAACAAAGAGCAGAAAACAGCATTTCTAAACATATCAGCCACTGCCTCACAAACCTGAATAACTGCAGCAACAAATGCCTCCAACCAAGAACTCCAGACTGCAGCCCTTGGCTGGGCCTTGTGCCTCTCTCAGGTGTCCCTGCTGCACTCACAGCTGGCCATGAGAGCGGTGGTGCTGGCAGGAAGGCGCTGAGCTGTGCAGGGAGCAGACAGGAGCCCTCCTGTGCCTCAGCAGCTGCTGCTTCTTTTGTAAATGAAGTTTTTTCAGGAAAAGATGAGACTCATTTTTTCACTGTCCCAGTGAGGCTCTTGTCAGCTCTTTGCCTTTTCCCTTCCTGCGGTGAAAGCTGTTCCCTACAATGAAAAATGAGACTTTAAGGTGGTATTGAACCAAATGGTGTCAAGAGCACTACAGGGATTGAAGAGGCAAGAGACTGGGGCTTTTCTCTGTTATCTTTGCTGTCGTTTTTCCTCTGTTCTTTTTCGTTTCCCTTCTCTTTTTCCCTCCAAGGTGTTTGCACTCTGTCAGGATGCTTTGTTTTCCAGGATGTTGTCTTCACAGCTGGCCCAAGAGACATGAGTTTTAGAAAGCTTTACTAACTGACATGGACTGCTGCTTTGCTGAGGTCATGCTAAACTCCTGAACCTTGAGAAGAACAAAAACTTAATAGGGTTATGAATATTAACTTCACTGCCCAGGGCAGACTATAAGCTAATTTTAAGGATCATGGATCATGTGTTATACATGTGTTATCATGTGTCATGTGTCATACTAAGGGGGAACATGGAGTAGATGGATCAGAAAGTATATACCTTCAAAGTACCTCAGGCAATGGGGAAAGGGAAAGGGTGTGATACAGCTGGGAAATGAGAATTAAAGCAGGCTACTTGTTTCAACAAATTGAGAGAGACTCCATTGGACACACACCTGATGGACCCTCTCCCTTTCTTCATAAATAAAATTACTTTTACAGGACCAGAAGATCCAGCAGGAAGACCTGCAGAGTTAAGTGCCATCCTTTGCCATGGTGTCATTGCAGGATTGCAGGGCAAAGCTGGAAGAGCGGACAGGTCTCCTTTGACTCACACAGGAATGCCCAGTGAGGATCAGACCCCGACTTTGGGCAGCAGCCTCCTTACTCCTGCCCTTCCTGAATTCCTTCTGTTCTGCTCTGTAAACTTCACTGCATTTCCCTCCAGGGGCATCTCCATGCACAGTGTTATGAAGTTAGAGGGCAGAGCTTAGACATATCCCTGCCTTTAGCAAGTTTCTGGTTTTTAGACAGCAGCTTTATTGAGACAGCCAGCACCCCAAAAACCCACTCTCACTTGTAAGTTCTTAATAATGACCAATCAGGCCTATTACAGCATGAATTATCTATTAAGTAGACACAGAAAACAGACATAAGACTTTAAATAGATTACTTACTACACAAAAGGAACTACTAGTAGATAAAAATACAGTACATGATAATAAAGGTGCCTGTGTTACAGCTAGTGAAGGAATAGATTAGGAGTCAATGTCATTTGCTAATGAATGATAGTGGTGTGCAGAGAATCTCCTAATTCCCAACATCTTATCATCGAGGAGAACTCTCCACACACTCAAAGAGTGTATAAGAGATTTCTGACTTCATGAGAATCATAGTGTTTTTTTATAGTTGTAAAAAGTGCTTGTCTTTTAGTCACTAAGTTTGGTTTATCCTTTTCTCACACCAAGATGGGATGTTGATTGCTGACTAAGGAGGTTTTCAGCTGAGATAATTCAACCCATGGCAAAATCATTCCAGCCTACCTTAGCCATATGGGACAGGGAGGTAAGCTTTTGCTATATCAGGGGGTGAAAAAGCTCCTGCCACACAGTCTATGCCAGCTGACATGGAGCTGTTGGATCTTTCCCAGAGTCTTTACTGTGACCCCAATGCACTACAAGGATAAACTTATCTTTGTTTTCAAAATGATGGAACTGCAGATGTCTGACTAAACCTTCTTGGGGGTGTGAGTTTAATTTTCTCCTTTTCCTTTCCTGCCTGCCCAGGGCACTCTGCTGAGGCTTTTTTGGTTTCTTACAGGCAAAACCCAGGAGATGCATGACCTGGGCTCTGCTCCAGCTCTCAGGCAGCCCTGTTGGTAAGGAAACTTCCCTGTTGGAGCATCCCAGAGACACTCTGGCAGTTGCACTCCCACCACCAGACTGTTCCTGGGAACAGCATGTTGGCTGGGACCAAATCCCCTTCACTGCGGGTGGCTCAGGTGAGCCCAAGTGTGCCCCCACTGACTCCCACACTCTCCCCCCTCTCACACAGTCAGACCAGGTTTCCCAAAGCAGAGTCTCACATGTCTCATTCCACAAAACAATTTATTCACGGCGCAAGAACCCAGAAACAGCTCAAGCCAGTGCCCTCAGGGAGGGACCTTGGACCTCTGGGCTGTTACACCTTCACAGTCCAAGCACAGCAAAGTCTCAGCTCTTCCTCCCGAGGCTTGACATCTGCCCTGTCTCTGGGTGGCCACTGACCCGGCTGTGGCACAGGTCCCCAGGCTCCTTGTCCTGCCAAGGGTCAGCAGGTCATGGGCTCTTGCCTCGGGCTCCTGCCAGCCAGAGCTCAGCCTGGAGCTGGCACTGCAGCTCACCCCGAGCTACCTGCAGCAGGTGTATTCCTCAGCACCTGTGCTTTGCTGCCGCCAAGGAACTGCACACGGGGCCTCCTGCTCGGCCTCCTGGCACTGCACGCTGGAGCTGCCGGAGCT